CCAGGAGCCTCGGATGTGCCGGCAGAAGGACGCGTCGGCGATCCCACGGCCGCGCTTGATGCGGCCTTTCTGTTAAGTCCACCTCTGTAGGTGGTTTATTTTAAATACGGATTTTCAGCCTGAAGGGCCGGATCAGGGACAGGTGTGCAACACTTCCCAGATGTTGCGGTGGGAGCACGCCCGTTTGCTGCGGCTCCAATCCGTCCCTCTTCCGGCCCTAAACCTCCTGTGTGACCGGGGCCATAATAATAATACCCTCTTTCACCAGGGAACTCCGGCAGTTGTATTTCTAAGAAAGGGGGCAGAATTCTGACAGAGAATTCTCAACACCCTCAGCAAGGTACAGTTGTGAAGGCCAAACGAAAAGTTACGGTTCCTTTAAAGAGTTCCTCACAGCCGCTGTGGAGAACGGCTTCTTAAAACGGCATTCTTGACCCACAACGAACCAAAAAGCGTTGTTGGGTGTACTTCTTGCCAGGAGATTAACCATCAGATATAGGAAAGCTTCCCCGAGAGCACCTCTATATCTGAGTCCAGCCTGGCAAGAGTCATCCAGAACAATACCTTTAGGAACGTCCATTGGATTAAGGGTGCCAAGCAGATCTCTCACGTTCAGTCCGTCGCCATCGTCCTTGCTCAGCCAATTGTTGCACGGGAAATAAAAACGGAGGTGCGGCCTGTTCATGTCGGTGACGATCACGCGGTCCAGAAACCAGCTGGGATTCATACTCGTGTTGTCGTGCTCGATTCTGAAAGGCAAGTCGGGAAGGGGAATCAAGCGTGGGATTTTATACAGATTGAATGTTTTGGAGAGCTGGCTTTTGCTGTTTTTATTTGGTCGGTCGAGTGTGAATATCTCCCAGTAGCACCTTAAAGACTAAAAATTCCAGGCAAGGAAGGAGCGTTTGTGCGTCGCGGCTCAGTCTGAAGATGTGAGCAGTGACTCACGAAAGCGCCTGCCCTGTCACAAATTTTTGTTAGTCTTGAACTGGGGTCGTTTCGTAGAAAAAGAGCTAGGGGAACTCATTAGCATAACTCATTAGCATATGCCACACCCCCTGACAACACTGGAAGTGTGCCATAAGGCCACACCCCCTGGCATCACCAGAAGTGTGTCATAAGGCCACACACCCTGCCCCCAACGGTCCTGGCGGCGGCCTTGCAGCTCCACTGCTGAGCCCCATGAGAGGCCCAGCAGTGGACCTGCAAGGCCGGCGAGAGTGCAAGGAAGCCCCGCGAAGGCCCTCCCTGGCCCCAGGCAGGCAGGGGTGGAGAGAGGCAGGGAGGAAGCAACTTACCCTCCCTCTTCTCCTGCCTCCTCCTGGTTGAATGAGGGCCGGAAGCGGGGCGGCCGGAAGCAGGGGGCGTCATGTGCCCCGCCCCCCGTACCTCACCCGGCGGAACTGCGATCCCCCGCGTTCCCCCCCGAAATGACCTCTGGTCTTGAAGCTGCTCCTGGACTCTTGTCTACTTCATGGGCAGCTGTGATGAACTGACCTCCAAAAGCAAGGTGTTTAGGACATCAAACTCAGGGTTCGGTCACATGCGCCAGATAAAATGGGGGGGGGGAGCGAGGCTATTTCCTCCGGAGGAATCTGACCCACAGTTGCATGATCACACCTCCCTTTGAAGGTGCAGTCCATCAATGTGTGATCCAACATTGGCTTCTCTTATGCACTTTTCTTATGTTAATTATACTCTGTTGCCTGTTCAAAGATATTCTAATTTTCTTGTGAAGAACTACAGTTACCTCAGCTCATCATCCCCTGCCCTATTCCCGATCCAACTGTCCCCGTTGAATAAAATCAACCGTTTTGTTTCAACTTTACCTCGTATCAAGTGCCATTTCCAAAGGGTTCTATAAGAGGGCTCCTGCTGAGTTACAATAAAACTCTGGCCCAGGCAAAAGTCAAATGACTTCTTTAACACTGGGTGGGACACAAAGTAAGTTATAAGTTTATGATTTAAACATGCTACTAAGAGGCTGCTCAGTCAGAGTGGTAAACAGAGTTTTCGCGGGAAAGTCTGCCTCACAGAAGAGAAGGAGCAAGGGTCTGTCACAGCAGCTAATCAGGACTTTGGCAAATCAGTCATCAAGACCAACTTCCATCACAAGGAGTGCGTTCAGGAATTGTGTGAGACTGTCTATCCCTTGCTGTATTTATCCCTTAGGACTATATCTCTGGCCAGTTAACTGACAGGATGGCATTCATTCTAATACCTTATCTTCCTTATTGTTCCCACGTTGTTGGTTCTCACTCGAAAAACGTCTGTTTTGCTCCTCTCAAACGCACTCTCGCTCCTGAAATACACACATACCAAAAAAAAGTTTTTCAAAAGAGTTATGATTGATTCACACTGACATATGCATCAGTGCAATCCTGTGCAGAGTTAGTCCAGTCTAAACCCACTCAAATCATCAGGCTTAATTGGGCACCCACGGGGACTTGCCTGTGAAGAAGCCGTCACCAAAACTGTATTGCATAGGGAGGATTAACCCTCAGGCGCAACGTCTTAGAAGAGGGATCCCCAACCTTGTTGAGCCTGTGGGCACTTTGAAATTCTAAAAGAAATTAATTAGTGTCACCCCAAAACGGCTGCCATGGGTAGGGCACAGCCAGCCACAAAATGTCTTCCATGTTGATTGGGACCAATCACAAAATGTCAGGAGGTTCCAAGCCAAGCATTGCCTTATGAAAGAGGAAGTTGGTTCTTAATGGTTTCTGAAGACCCAAAGGTGATGCCTCCTATGTTTTTTGAAGCACTTCCAACTCCAGTGAGGTGGGAGAACACCAAGAATGGCTCTATGCTTTGAGGAAGTGATGCTTAGAGAGTAGAAGGAAGTAAGCAGGCACCAAGAAATATAGTGCTGGTACCACAACACCCACTGGCCCCACACTGAGTATCGCTGACTTGGAAAGTTCATGAACATTCTAAGTCAGACAGAATGGATGAAACAGGAAGTGTGGAGTCTGCACAGGAAGTCTGTTCCGGGATATAGATCCAGAGGAGTTAGCCGTGTTAGTCTGTTGCTGCAAAATGGTAAAAAGCCCAGTAGCACCTTTAAGATGAACAAACTTTATTGTAGCATAAGCTTTCGAGAAACACAGCTCTCTTCATCAGATGCATGAGGGTATGAAGAAACTGGCCAGAGATATATAGGTGGCCAGTTTCTTCATACCTTCCATGGATCTGATGAAGAGAGCTGTGTTTCTCGAAAGCTTATGCTACAATAAAGTTTGTTCATCTTAAAGGTGCTACTGGGCTTTTTACTATTTTGGGGTATAGTTATCTTTGGCTATCATTAACACCTCAGATTGGCTCCAGGGACAGACAGATGTGCTGGCAAAGTAGATAGGCTAAAAGAGAAGAGATCTCAGGAAGCAAAAGAAACTATGGACCTGGTAGCCATGGGAATGGGGCAGCAGATCAAACACAAGGATCTGATCAGAGCTAGGTGAAAAGCACAGAGTCCTGAGGAGAAGACAAGCAGAAAATCGAGGAAAAGAGAAACCATTAAAGCAGTAAGGTGCAGAAAGCTCACACCTGCTGCTAGATATACAGAAATTCACATATATGTACAAGAATTGAGCTTTCATACAACACACTACATGCTGTGCCTTCTCATATGTGGAATTCAGGTCTGCTCAGGGCATAGGAACATAAGTCTATATGAATAGATGGATGGATGGATGGATGGATGGATGGATGGATGGATGGATGGATGATGGATGGATGATAGATGGATGATAGATGGATGATAGATGGATGACAGGCAGACAGACAGACAGACAGACAGACAGACTGCTGGCTCCCAAATTGGCCATGCCCAGCAGGAACTCATTAGCATAATAGGCCACACCCAACAGCAGGAACTCATTAGGATTGGCTACATTAGGGGTGTGTGGCCTAACATGCAAAGGAGTTCCTGCTACAAAAAAGGCCCTGGTTTTGACAACAAACAAGGTAAACAGAATAACAAGCAAAAGGTGGGTGTGGCTGGATAACCACACTTCTGGTAACATGGGGGTGTGGCCTAATGTGCTAATGAGCTGTGCTGTCAGGGGTGTGGCCCAATATGCTAATGAGTTCCTGTTGTTGGGTGTGGCCTATTATGCTAATGAGTTCCTGCTGGGCTTTAGATAGACAGACAGACAGACAGACAGACAGACGGAAGATCCCAAATAAAGTGGGGGCGTGCCATGCTCCATCCGAGAAAAAATCCTCACATGGAAATATCCCAGTGCTCAAACGAGTAGCCTCTTCCATTTAGTTAACTATAAGCTCGAGCCCATTTCCTACCGTATTACAAAAAGGCACCTTTATTAATATTTTGGGGGAATGCGAAACAATTGACATTTAACCATTGATCGGTCAGCAAAAAAAAAAAAAAGTTCAACCATTTGATCAAGAGAGAGGATAAAAGCATCATTTGGGTTTCTGCTACAGTCATCAAAATACCTTGGGTTGGCTTTGACCGAGTGCAGCTAGGAAGCCCAAAGGAATATGGGTTATAGATACCATAACTACATAAATATGAATTAAATCAAATATAATTTGGGAACCTCCAGAACTGCTATTCCTTATGACAAGTGGCTTAGAAAGTTGACAAGCGTTCGCATGAGGACCTATCATGGGCCGATATACGGTGCTTCGTGAGACTTTAGCATGCCTTACTGTGACCATTCGCAAGCACATAAGCAAAATGCTTCAGGGGAAACGGCCATGCATTTTACTGCCAGCGTACAGCCATGAAAGGGGTGGGGGAGACGAAAGCGGTGTGATGATCAGCCACAAAGGTACCTTGGTCGAGGAAATGCATGGTATTTTATCTCATCGACGCCAGGAAACAAGCCAGGGATATAAAATGTCATGCATTTTGCAAATCATTTCATCAGTGCGAAAACAGCTCATTGGAAGATGCGTGAAATTCCATCCTTTTGCCATATCCTGTGAGCAACGTAACAAATTTGGGAGCCACTAATGTGTGTCTCCCCCCCCCCGCCACCGCCCCTTACAAAGCTTCCCAAGAGTAAGCAAGAAATCCATTATTGCTGTCAAACGCAGCAGGACGAACAGATGGAAATAGTCTTCTCCTCATTTTGCCTAAAGGGTTTTTTTCCCCTCCTACCCCTCAACCCACCCCCCAGTGGGAACACTTAGGAGACCCCCTCAGTGGAAAAATCGGAGTCAGGAAGAAAAAAAAGAAAACATAACGAAGGCAAAAATGGAGACACGTTTATAAGACGCAAAAATTGCTAATGGTTTTTGCATTAGGTGCTATTTAGGTTTCAGGAAGGAGCGAAATCTCAAAAAGAGAAAAATATTCTCAGCGAGGGGGGGGGTTGCCGTCAAGTCGGAGCTGATTTATGGAAGAAGAGAAGAAAAAGAAGAGATTGCATTTATACCCCGCCCTTCACTACCCAAAGGTGTCTCAGAGCGGCTAACAAACTCCTTTCCCTTCCCCTCCCCACCATAGACACCCTGTGAGGTAAAAGAAGCAGTGAAGTGGCTAAATTTGCGGATGATACGAAGTTGTTCAGGGTGGTGGAAACCAGTGAGGATTGTGAGGCACTCCAAAGGGATCTGTCAAAGATGGGCAAGTGGGCGTCAACATGGCAAATGGGGTTCAGTGTGGCCAAGTGCAAGGTGATGCACATTGGAGCCAAAAATCCTAAATATAAATACACGTTGATGGGGTCTGAACTGGCACAGACTGATCAAGAGAGAGAGATCTTGGAGTCGTAGTAGATAACTCACTGAAAATGTCGAGACAGTGTGTGACTGCAATAAAGAAGGCCAATGCTATGCTGGGGATTATTAGGACGGGTATTGAAAACAGATCAGCCAATATCATAATGCCCCTATATAAATCAATGGTGCGACCTCATTTGGAATACTGTGTGCAATTCTGGTCACCACACCTTAAAAAGGATATTATAGCTTTGGAAAAAGTGCAGAAAAGGGCAACTTGAATGATAAAGGGGTTGGAACACTTTCCCTATGAGGAAAGGTTAAGGCGCTTAGGGCTCTTTAGCTTGGAGAAAAGACGACTGAGGGGTGACATGATCGAGGTTTATAAGATTATGCATGGGAAAGAGCAGGTAGAGAAAGAGGTACTTTTCTCCCTTTCTCACAATACAAGAACTCGTGGGCACTCCATGAAATTGCTGAGCGGTCGGGTTAGAACGGATAGAAGGAAGTACTTCTTCACCCAAAGAGTGATTAACACTTGGAATTCACTGCCACAGGAAGTGGTGGCAGCTACAAGCATGGACGGCTTCAAAAGGGAATTAGATAAGCATATGGAGCAGAGGTCCATCAGTGGCTATTAGCCACAAGGTATAGATAGGGACTCTGGGGCAAGTGATGCTCTGTCATCTTGGTGCTTGGGGGGGGGGGTCAACAGTGGGAGGGCTTCTAATGTCCTGGGCCCACTGGTGGACCTCCTGATGGCACTGATATTTCTGGCCACTGTGTGATACAGAGTGTTGGACTGGATGGGCCTTTGGCCTGATCCAACATTGGCATCTCTTTATGTTCTTATGTTCTTATAAAAAGATATTTGGATTTATACCCCGCCCTTCACTACCCTAAGGTCTCAGATAGGCTTACAAACTCCTTTCCCTTCCCCTCCCCACAACAGACACCATGTGAGGTGGGTGGGGCTGAGAGAGCTCTGACAGAAACTGCAATTTTTCAAGAACAGCTCTGACAGAACTATGGCTTGGCCCAAGGTCATCCAGCAGCTGCAAGTGGAGGCGTGGGGAATCAAACCCGGTTCTCCCAGATTAGAGTCCGCGCACTTCACCACTACACCAAACTGGCTCTCCTTGTTTCTTCATACCATAGGGTTTTCAAGGGAAGAGTTGTTAGGAGGTGGTTTGCCATTGCCTCCCTCTGCAGAGCAGGCCTGGGCTTCCTGGATGGTCTCCCATCCAAATACTGACCAAGGCCAACCCTGCTTAGTTCCTGAGATCTGACAAGGTCAGGGATTTCATTTAGCCAAGATTAAATTGTAAAATTAAATTGATTAAAGATTGGCATTGGGGGGAAAATAGGATAATAGAAGACTGCAGTGCTATGAATGATCCACGGGTTGAAAGTAGGAGCTTCAGAGAGAACTTCCGAAGATCCCACAGTAAAAAAATACAGTGGAGGGCTGCTCCTGTATGACAAAAAAATGTCCCAAAGTCCCAGAGAAAGAAAGTGGAGTTGGTAGCCTCTTTACTAGTGGAGGGGATGAGACTGCACAGTTTAAGCCTTATCGGCTTCATGATGCTACCTGGCAGCCGGGGGAGGGCACTGCCCCCTCCGGGAAATCCCAAGGTATTTGAGCACTGCTGTCCCCCCATAGTTTATGCCCCTGACTATGTGGTTGTGGGAGAACCAGAAATACGTATTTACATCAACGTTCTTCCCCTCTGAGAGCAGTGGTTAAGAGCGGCAGACTCTAATCCAAGGAACTGGGTGTGATTCCTCCACATGAAGGCTGCTGGGTGACCTTGGGCCAGTCCCAGTCCTCTCAGGACTCTCTCAGCCCCACCTCCCTCATAAGGTGCCTGTTGTGGGGAGGGGAAGGGAAGGCAATTGTCAGCCGCTTTGAGACACATGAAGCTTGCTGGGTGGCTTTGGTTCAGTCCCAGTCCTCTCAGGACTCTCTCAGCCCCACCTGCCTCACAAGGTGCCTGTTGTGGGGAGAGGAAGGGAAGGCGATTGTCAGCCCCTTTGAGACACATGAGGCCTGCTGGGTGACCCTGGGGCAGTCACAGTCCTCTCAGGACTCTCTCAGCCCCACCTGCCTCACAAGGTGCCTGTTGTGGGGAGAGAAAGGGAAGGTGATTGTGAGCCACTTTGAGACACATGAAGCTTGCTGGGTGACCTTGGTTCAGTCCCTGTCCTCTCAGGACTCTCTCAGCCCCACCTGCCTCACAAGGTGCCTGTTGTGGGGAGAGGAAGGGAAGGCGATTGGAGGCCTCTTTGAGACACATGAGGCCTGCTGGGTGACCTTGGGCCAGTCCCCGTCCTCTCAGAACTCCCTCAGCCCCACTTACCTCACGAGGTGCCTGTTGTGGGGAGGGGAAGGGAAGGCAATTGGAGGCCTCTTTGAGACTCCTGAGAGTAGAGAAAAGCCGGGTAGAAAAACCTGGCCATTTGTGACAAGCCGGCCATTTGTGACAGGAAAAGTACTCTTTAGACTAGGCTTTTCTCTCTCCTTCTGACTACAACCTGAATGTGAACTGAATCCACTTTTTCAGTATACTTCTTGGGAGATTTATTTCCCTGAATTCAATATCATGCTTCTATGACTGGGCAGACTCTGCCGTATTAACCAAATCTCTCAATACAAATCTTCTGGAATTTTCCAACCTAGAATTGGCAACCCCAATTGACATTGCCTAGCCTAGTCAGGGCTTTGTAAGCAGGGGAAACTGTTCCTCAACAGACACCTCTTTTCCCTCATGACCGAGAGAGTAACGAATGTGAGTGAAAATTCCTCAGAATCGCTGCTGCTTCCCCATTTGTTACATCAAATATGGCAAAGAGGTCTGGAATTTCATGTATCTCCTTTACCAGTCCCATATTATTTGCCTTTACAAGATTTTTCATGTCTGAGTTGCTTCATTTGGGGGAGAGAAACCCTTTTGAGGGTAAAATTTTTAAAATAGCTGCTGGTACCTCTTGCCGGAGCTGAAATGCAGAAAATGTGAAGTTATGATACGAGATTAGCATTTTTCAACCAAAAAAAACCCACATCGACATCCAAAGCAGTGCGCTGAGGCACAGGAATCGGAATTCACAGATAAGCAAGGCTTTATCGTTTCCTACTGGTATTCTTTTTTTGCCAAAAGGAAAGATTAAGTAGGGAATTCAAAGGCAGTTTGCTTTTGCAGAAGCAGATCGGGGGGGGAATAAGTAGAATACGCTCTACTGAATCAACAGATGTCCCACCTCTGTTTATAATTCCCATGGTACTCTGCACATGCCCAGATGTGGGTCCATACTCAAAGCTGACTACCCGGTGAAGTGGTCATGTCATCGTTTCCACAGCTTACCTTTCAGCAGGCAATGAAGTTTGTACATAAAAAACCTAAATCTTTACATAAAACCCAACAATTCTATTCCCTTGCACAGGGGTGTCAAACATGTGGCCCAGGGGCCGGATCAGGCCCCCGGAGGGCTTCTATCAGGCTCGCAGTGGAACTGGCTGTCTTCTGGTTCTTCTTCCAGTTCTGCTGCTGCTGCTGCGTCATCGTAGGTTTGCAGCTTACAGATACACACCTGAACAGCATACTCAGAATTGCAACAGCACAGACATTTTGATGCAATAATTCAGAGCAAGGGGTGCCCTGTTAAATAAACAAAATATTGCAAGAGTGCTAATGTTTTAAGCATGTTTTTATTTTAAGTTTTTTAAAAAAACCTTTGTGTTTGTGTCCTTTATAAAGTTTATATCTCCGCTACCTGGCATAGATAAATAGGTACCACTTCGGTGGGAAGGTAACAGCGTTCCGTGCGCCTTGGTGTTTAGTCATGCCGGCCACATGACCACGGAAACGTCTTCGGACAGCGCTGGCTCTTCGGCTTTGAAACGGAGATGAGCACCGCAACCCTAGAGTCGGATTCGACTGGCTTTCGAGCAAGGGAACCTTTACCTTTACCTGGCATTACATTTTATGACACACATGGCCCGGCCCGACAAGGTCTCATTTATGTCAGATCCGGCCCTCATAACAAATGAGTTCGATACCCCTGCCCTTGCGCATACCAGTCTTCAGAACACTGTTAAGTGAGGCAACAGTTCCACCTACTGGCAATTCAAAAAATAATAACCATACAGGGCATGTTCATCCACTTAAATGTGGCTCAATTCACTACAGGACACTACAGAAACTGCTGGGTAAACGATACATTAAAGGAACACCAACTTTTGAGTGGGCACTGCAAAGCAGACTGGTAGCAAAAGGATTAAGGTACGTGTGCGGATTCACTCATGCTCAAGTAATTCATGCATGTCCAAGTGAATTTGTCTTACAAGTCTGCATGCTTCGAGAAACACGCTCCGCCCATTAGCAAGGAAACGATAATATTTTGCAAACAAAGCACTCCAATAACAGGTTACTGAAAGGGGGCACTGGGTGAGGTTCCTCCTCCCAAACTGCTTACTTGCTAGTCAGGTGGGCCTTCGGGGTGATGCCGAATTCTCCAAAGAGAGTCACAAAGATCTTGGCGTCCGTCCCTGCGCCTCGGACATCGCCCGTCACCGTCACGACTTCATAGACTGTGGAGGAAGTGCAGACAGGGCATGAAAATCCAAGAAAGAGATGGTTTTATTGTCAGGGGTTGTATGGAAAGGGTCAGCCGTGGAACGGCCGAGAGCCAGTTTGGTGTAGTGGTTAAGTGTTCAGACTCTAATCTGGGAGAACCGGGTTTGATTCCCCACGCCTCCATTTGCAGCTGCTGGATGACCGTGGGCAAGCCATAGCTCTGTCAGAGCTGTCCTTGAAAGGGCAATTCTTGAAAGAGCTCTCTCAGCCCCACCTACCTCACAGGGTGTCTGTTGTGGGGAGGGGAAGGGAAAGGAGTTTGTAAGCAGCTCTGAGACTCCAAGTGAAGGGCGGGGTATAAATCCAATCTCCTCCTCCTCCTCCTCCTCTTCTTCTTCTTCTTGAAAATGGATCTCACAGTTTCATTTCTGTGCAAAGTAACTGTGGGGCCCAAACAGAAGAAGGGTCCCCCCCAGCATCAACTCATCCTGAAAATAAAAAGAGACGGGTCTGTTTTTATAACACCTGAGAGCAGAAAGTTCTAGATCAACCCCATGTCCTTATAATAGAAGAAGGAGGAGAAGGAGGAAGAGGAAGAGGAAGGCCCCGTGTCCTTATAATATTCGTTTTCTACTTTTACGCAACAGGAAGCATTTAGAAATGGTACCACCACTACCATCCCGCAGCCTGAAATAGTGCTATTTTTCCAACCACCTCATTCAACTGTGTGAGTTGATTTGGCCTCGTTCCTTCCAGAGTCAGTTAACCTAGAGCAGGAGAGGAGAAGGAGGAGGAGGAGGAGATTGGATTTATACCCCACCCTTCACTACCCAAAGGTGTCTCAGAGTGGCTTACGATCTCCTTTCCCTTCCCCGCCCCACAACAGACACCCTGAGAGAGCTCTGACAGACACTGCTCTTTTTCAAGAACAGCTCTGACAGAACTATGGCTTGCCCAAGGTCATCCAGTAGGTGCAAGTGGAAGATTGGGGAATCAAATCCGGTTCTCCCAGATTAGAGTCCGGGCACTTAACCACCACACCAAACTGGCTCCTCCTGTGGGCACTGCCAGAATCCTGACGCAGCTTGGGGGGTTGCATAGGGTTGTGGCCAGCTCAGAACTGAAAAATTCCTGGCGATTTGGGGAGTGGAGTCTGGGGAGGGTAAGATTTAGGGAGAAAAGGGACCTCCGAAGGGCATAAAGCCATAGAGTCCACCCTCCAAAGTAGCCATTTTCTCCAGGGGGACTGATCTCTGTCATCTGGGGATCAGCTGTATTTCCAGGAAATCTCCAGGCCCCTCCTGGAGACTGGCAATCCTAGAGGGTGCAGCTATAAAATGGCTGCCACAAAATGGCTGCCACGGGACATGGCACCAGCCACAAAATGGCTGCTGCAGCTGGCCTTCAATCAAACAGTGAAAACCCTTGTGCTGTGGTGTCTGCTACCACTGAGGTAACTTTTTTTAGAAATCTGCGCAGCCAATAAAATGGTCAAGTCCACCTGGCCCCGCCCACTTACTAAAAACACTTGGTGGGTGCCAGGAAACATGTCAGGGGGCATCATAGCACCCACAGGTACCATGCTGGGGGGCCCCGACCAAGAGTAAGGCCTAATCTAATTTCACATCCTATTCTGAGTGTCATGATCTGGGCTGTGCTACCAGAGGTCTACTAGGCCCAAAGAGCCTGGCTAGCAGTAGGTGAGGCTGGGCCTACAACTCCCAAAAGCCCCTGGGAGGTTTTGGAGCCAAAATGGGCCAATAGGAAAAGAGGAGGGAAATCCCACAAACATTTTGAATGGCTGGCAGCGACAGCCTTAGTTGTTCCCTTCAAGAACGCCAATTTGGGGCCGTGATGCCCTGTATTCTTGGTTGTTTTGGGATGGACACAGTGAGAGGGCTTCCGGAGTTCTGGCCCCGCTGGTGGACCTCCTGATGGCACCTGGGTTTTGGCCCCTGTGTGAGATAGAGTGTTGGACTGGGTAGGCCATTGGCCTGATCCAACATTGGCTTCTCTTATGTTCTTAAGAGCAGAGGTCCATCAGTGGCTATTAAAAGCTGTTCTTTCTTCCAGAGGGCAGAGCCAAAAAGAAGGCTGCTGCAGGGGAGAGACCCTCATCCTGTGGGAGGGGGGAGTAGTGTAAGGCCACTTGAGATTGTGAGCTAGGGAAAGTAAATTTAGACGCGTTAGGGCATTTGATTTCTTTTATTTTCACCCTCTTACTGTTATTATTCCGCACCTTGTTGTTTGACCTCCTATGAAATTAACCTTTCCCTTGTTTTACTCTGCCTGGTCCTCACGCCTGTCATTCGGCCTAAAGGGAGGTCTGAAGATCTTGGGAGGGTGCTCTGGGCCTTCTCAAGGGAACCTAAATCCAGACTGGTGGCAGCCAGTGTTCCCTCTAAGCTGAGTTAGTGTGAGCTAGCTCACAGTTTTTCAGCCTCCAACTCACAGATTTTTGTCTTAGCTCAGGAAGGATGGCTGCACAGCAAACTAATATATGCCGTAGCCCAATCACTCGCTCATGACTTTAATGCCAGTAGCTCACAAAGTAGAATTTTTGCTCACCAGAATCCACAGCTTAGAGGGAACATTGGTGGCAGCGTCAGGTGACACTCCACCTGAGCCGTGACACTGAGAAATACCAGAATTCATCTCTTGACTCCAAACAAAAAAAGCTTTCTTCATTATTACACAGGGGCAGCCAGCCAGAAACACACATGCTTCTGTTCTGAATGCAACCAGTTGAGAAAGACTAAGAGTCAGGGTAGCCAGACCTCTTACCCAGCAGGCTCAGGTTACCAGATTTCAGTGAGGAGCTCACCTCTCCAGTTTTAGAGTGCCCAGGTCCCTCCAGGCAGCCGGAGGGGGATGGGGGGTGAGCTCACCAGGAGCTGGGAGTTTCTTCACGGGTTTCAGCAACATGCCCACATGACTTCCAATGTGACCTGGAAGTGACATAGGTACGCTGAGGATGTCAGGCGACACTCTGGGTTTTGGACAAAAACTCTATGATAGAATTAGCTTCTACTATAGTGTTTTCGCCCAAATTCCAGAGTGTCACCCGGACATGCCTATGTCACTTCTGAGTCATGTTGAAGTCACACAGGCACATCGCTGAAATGTCTGGTGTTCCTCCCTCGCTTGAGAGCCAATTTGGTGGAGTGGCTAGGAAAGTGGCCTCTAATCTGGGAGAACCAGGTTTGATTCCCCACTCCTCAACCTGCAGCTGCTGGTGCGACCTTGGATCAGTTACAAGTTCTGTCAGAGCTGTTCTCTCACTGGCAGTTCTCAATAGGTCTCTCTCAGCCCTACCTACCTTGCAGGGTAGGTCTGTTGTGGGGAGGGGAAGGGAAAGGAGATTGCAATCTGCTCCAAGACTCCTTTGGGTAGTGAAGGCTGGGGTATAAATCCAATCTCTTCTTCTTCTTCTTTGGGGTAATTCCCCCCTGCTGGCCAGCTGATCTGTGGCAGAGAGGTGGGGCCTAGCAGGAGAGGATCGCTTCCCCCACTAAGGGGGTCTTACGTAGGGTTGCCAAGTCTATCTTCGCCGGGAGCAGGGGGCTCCTGGCTGACGTCTTGTGCGCGCACGCGCAATGCGCGCGCCACATGCACGTCACCCGGAAGTGACGGGAGGACGCCAGGAACGTTGGGGGCGGGGGCACAGCCATACAAGGGAAAACCATAGAGTTTTACCTCGGATGGCCGTGGCCCCGCCCCCAGCGTGCCCGGTGTGGTCGCGTCACTTCCAGGTGATGCGCATGTCGGGGAGGAGTTCCCCCCGGGGCCCAATCAGGCGGCAGCAGGGAACGGGCCTCTGGGGCGGGGGTTTCCCCGCCCCCCGTGGGGGCTTGGGAAGCCTACCTCCAAAGCATCTGTTTTCTCCAGGGGAACTGATCTCTGTAGTCTGGAGATGAGCTGTAATTCCAGGGGATCTCCAGGTCCCATCTGGAGGCTGGCATCCCTAGGACCCCCAAGTGAGAAGAATGACAGAAAAGAAGGCGCCCTGCTGGACTGGTCGTTCTTGTTCTACGTTCCAAGGTGCTTCTGGTAATCTGACAATCAGGGCACGAAGGCAGCAAACAGTTGCCGGTTGTTTCCCTGCCCTCTGGCACTCAAAGATATACTATTGCTTCTCTGCACGGAGGTTCTGTTTAGCTGTTCTGTAGTCATCAATCGTCTTACATTCCATGAATCTATCTAATCTGCTTTTCAGAAAGTTAATCCTGTATTTACAGCTGATAAATTTCCTCGAACGTTAGAGAGGAGAGTAAGCAAGACATTCCTTTCCATTCTTTTCACCACATCATCTGTAATTTTACAAACCTCGATCCTATGGTGTCCAGGTCCCCCCTGTCCATTGGCAGGGGAAGAGGGGGGTTGAGTTGCCAGATCCAGGTCAGGATACTCCTGGAGATGTAGGGATGGAGCCTGGGGAGGACCTCAGTGTGGTACAATTAGGGTTGCCAGCTCCAGGTTGGGATATACCTGGAGATTTGGGGGATGGAGCCTGAGGGGGACAGGGTTTGGGGAGGGGACGGACTTCAATGGGGTATAATGCCATAGAGTCCACCTTCCACGGTGGCTGTTTTCTCCAACTGAACTGATCTCTGTTACCTGGAGATCAGTTATAATAGCAGGAGATCTCCAGCCACCATCTGGAAGTTGGCAGCCCTCAGTACAGTGCCACAGAGTCCGCCCTCCAAAGCATCAATTTCC